GTCTGTAGGTCATATGTTGTATGTACATATAATTATTCGTTATAGAACAAAGCGAAGGCAATTAATTCCAAGCATTGCAGTCCTTAAAATAACCATCAACTTTATAATAAACTAGCTGACCCGACAGACTTCGTCCTGTCAAAAAGATTTGTAATGTGGCAGTTTTTTTGCCTACGTATTTAAAAAAAATTCTCCTGAACAGAACCGTCACCCTGGTGATAGGGCGTTACATTACACACAGCAGCATTATAAAAGTAAACTATTCGAATTAAAAAAATATATAAACATTCTCAAGGAAAAATGCTGGAAGAATCCATCTACCTGTACCCCGGAATGGGACTCGAACCCATTCGCGATCCAGGGACTGCTCTAACCAATGAGCTATCTAGGACCCAACAGCTTTGCTACTACAGAGCGTATTTTCATCAATGTTCCGGCAATACATGTAATGACGTGGAAACTGATGCATTTTATCTCGCGTGCCGAAACTAATACAAAAGAAACGCGAGTTTCGGAACGCGACATTAAACTCCTCCAACTATGTATTCTGTGCTCCAACGCACACACGCACATTGTTTTGATAGATATGATCTTTGACGTTAGGAACACACCTACATTGCTTAGACAACAGTGAGTGCTTGTAATTTAATATGAACTTTATACCATAGCAATAAAGCTCAAATTGACTACGTTTTAGTTACAAATCATTTGTATGGGAAAAAGAAAAGGGCTATTTTTAGGGTTTTTCCAGCAATAATTCTAATTTTTCTCGCCGTAAAAACCATCCTTGAACTTCAACGAACATTTTAAAAAAAGATTTGGCCAAATTGGTCGAGGCGTTGTTGAGTTATGCGCTTACCAACACATTTTGCGATTCATTTTTATATATAAGATATATATATATAAGATTAATTTATCTTATTATAAATTAATAAATTAACTTTATTGAACATTTACCCAGAAATGATCCTCTGGTTTTCTGAAGTCTGAAGCTTGGAACGGCTAGTTTATGTTTATTTCTTGTGTTGAGATTATGAACACTACTTTTTTTGTGAAGGAATCGTAAAGTTTTCTTGCGTACATAATATTTTCATAGATGTATTGAGAGGCAACAGTCAAAATATTTATATCTTTAAATATTTCTCTGAGGGATTCCCTAGACCATAAATTATATATAGCGCGGACAGCTCTCTTTTGTAGAATAAAAACATCTTGAATGCTAGTCGCAGAACCCTACAACAATAGACATTACACTATGAAAATAAATATACTAATCTTGCCGTTTCAACATTTGTCAAGTGTCTAATTTTTTTAACAGCAAATGCTGCAGAACTCAGTCTACTCAGTACTTTTTCACTATTTACATTTATAAGTGTACTAACATGCCTCACATAACACATTTGGCAATACAAACTTTATGCATTTAGTTTTATTTGAATAAAGCTTTAAATTATTATTATCAAACCACTGCAGAACTTTGCCGAAGGTATCATTTACATCGTCAAAACAATCATTACCCCTCTTAACTTTAAACACTAAAGAGGTGTGATCAGGAAATAATACTGTCTTGCACAAATTCTTCGCAAAGTGAGGAAGATCATTATTATAATTTGGAAAAGCAATGGTCCTAATACCGATCCCTGAGGTACGCCCGTAGTAATGGGTGCCCTTGCAGATTTCGCTTCATTAATTACTACTTTTTGAATTCTAGCATAAAGATGGTGTCTTAGAAAAGGATTTCTCAAATGAAGCGGCAACGCTTCATCTGTTTTAATAACTTTATTGTCAACCTTCTAATGAGTATACATTTATTTTTCCCCGTTTCTTGATTTATGATAGTCCAGGTTGTTTTTATTTTATTTTCTGCATTGAATTTTTTTCCAGATATTTACGAGTATTTTGTTTTTGCTGTAACACATTCTTTCCTAAAAAAATTTAATAATTTCTGACATATTCAATAAACTTTGGATCAGTCGAGGTACACTTTACCTCATACAAATCATACAGTCTATTTCGACTTTTGTAGATGCCAGGTGTAACCTAACCACTAAATTTCTTCTTTTTATTGTCTTGAGTTTAAATATTTTGTCAAATTCTCCCCTTATAAAGTTAAAAAGATTATTACTGGGTCTGATTTCCATAATATCTCTAAATTACTTTTGGTAATAGATCTACAAATTATATTGCATTTAGAAGAAACATGATGGTGCTCGAAAGTTGCTAGAACTCCGCTATGGTCAGAACGAATACAATTTATTATCGACTTTTGAACACCTTACATTTACAAAAAATATTATCTTAGCAAGTAGCAGATGTGGGTATAATGCGGGTAGGTTCATTAAAAATATTTTATAAATTAATATGTACATTTAAACAAGTTCAAAAACCTACTTGATTTAGCACATTTTATTAAAATGTCTATATTAAAATCACCACATATCACTACTTTTTTATCAACTTTGCATAATAATTTTAATGCAACCTCCACAGCAGATTCAAATTGACAGAAGTCCCCATCAGGTGGTCTATATATACATATAATAACAATACAACGTGTCGCTCAATTGAGAGCGACACTATATCTTTGCGTTCTTTACGTTTTAAATAATTATTTATTATTATTAAAGACCCCTCCCCTCGTATGGCATTTATCCTACAGAATAAACTCATTTTTAAAACACGTAATCAATTTAAAAATTTTTGAGCCAGTGCTCTGTAATACATATTATATCAATATTCATTGTATTCAAACATAATACTAATTACAGATCTTTTCCAGAACAGCTTTGTATATTTCGGTGATTAATACTTAAGTAGGCAGACTTTTCCCATTGCTAGAGATTTTCTCTATTGTTTTATTCAACAATTTAAATTTAAATTAATGTTAAATTAGCGATATCGTTCATATCGTAATGGTCCTCACTTGTCAAATAGTTGAAGCTTGAAATCCTGAATATCTTTTGAATGTATAACTGAAAGGGATTGTAATCGATTTTGGATTGTAATAAATAAATAAATAGATTTTAAAATAAGAAAATTAAGCCTCTGAACTAAAGAAAAATATCATGTAACCAAAGCTTGGAACGAATGTTTTAAAATAATCTGTTAATGTTCAAATTTCACATACCATATTAATTTAATACATACCAGCAATTTTTCTGCGATTTTGCCTGCATGAATAATAGCCTATGTCACCCGCGTAAGATGTTGATTTCTGAATGCAGAAAATATTTTTTAAATCAGTTCAGTCAGTCTATTCATTGCGAACAAACAAACGAACGATCAAATATTTCCTCTTCAATAAGTTTTACTAGTATCGACATGGACTAATGTAACCAGATGAATACTAATCCTCAACCAAATAACGTCGTCATGAAGAAAGAAGGTTATAAACGGACAGGCCTCCATATAGCAAGGGATCCAGCTTTGACACCTACACCAATTCGGTGGTTTTAAGTTCTTGACGTTACTCCTGATGGCGCTCCTGGCCCGTGCTAGTTTTGGACACATGCAACACCATATCCGCGGTCATAATTTAAAAATTTTAAGACTACCAGAACCTATAGAGTTGGTCTCATTTTTAGGGTAAATGGGAACCTGATGTATTTTTTTATTGATGTTTTTTTTTTTACAAATATTAAAAATCAGAACAAAATAAATATTTAAGGCAGCTCCCATACAACAAATGTGACAATTTTTTGCTCGTTTCTGGTACGGAATACTTCGTGCACAAGTACAACTCGCACTCGGATTGATTTTTAAAATTGCACTCTTTAATCTGTGTTAGCTACATTATACGAGTATAATCTATTATATTGTTGTGATGGCCCATCCTCCTTAACCATCCATAAGGAAGGCCTGAGCCCCTGCAGTAGGGACGTAAATGGGCTGATGATGATTTTTGATGGACTTCATTCCAGAGTTTCGTCTAAGACACCAAGTTTTATTGAGCCAGCACTGGATATAAATAAAAGCTATAAATAAATATTTAAATTTTTATTAAACAATGAAAATAAATGCAATATAATATAAATTGTAATAAAAATAGTTCTATAAGTTATAGAACTAAATAAAATATAACATTACAAAATTAATATGTTTTCAATTTCCATATAATTGTGTGGGAAACATAATATCTATTACATAATCAATTGTTTTGTATTCTTAATACTAGTATAATTCCAAAAACCTGATTTTTAATCGAGTAAATTAAAAATATAAATGATAAAATGGTCCTTCGAGCCGTATATAAAAAAATGCTTGAAACATATGATCGATATCGATATATTGTTTATTAATATTATTGCTGGAAGACAGCAGCACACAACTGTAACTTGTTTTTATTTCCTTCCATTTAACTTAGTAATTTCCCTTTTATTGTAAAAATGGACAGCTGCACGTCCATTAAGGTTTAATGACGCCTTTTAGCTCTAATGAATGACAAACATTATATCGGTAACCTCGCATCGGATGTTTGTGCAACTGGCTGTTATACTAGAAAGTTCCATGATTGCACTGACCAGTCTTTAATAAACATTGATAATTTTGTCAGGGCAAAGTGAATTTTCTAAGCAATTATCATAGATAATATATCAACGACTAATAAGACTTAACTTACATACTCGATTGACTTAAGCTAAAACATATTTGGTATATAAACGTTTTTCTTTTGTAATTTATTCGTAAAGCAATAGTACAGTCGGCGCCACGTAAACGGAAACAGTTTTCAACCATGTGCCTATATAGTAGTGCCAGGAAGGAATTAGAATTAACTTCGGTCCTATGTACTTATAAACAATGAAATAACACTTTCACTACAGTTTTATATTATATTTGGATATAATATTCGAAATTGGTATAATATTAAAAGTTATAGTTTTCTTTGTTTCTAAATAGTGCAGGGGCAATATTTATCCTCCATGAAACTATCACAAAGTCACACTGAGACTTTGTACTATTAAACTGAGAGATAACTGATGAGACAAGTGACTGCATTTATTGTTGTTAATCTGAAGATCAAAATGTACTTTATCCGTGTATCAAACACCAATTGAAGAGAATTTTAGAGGTAAAATGGTAAACCTCAATTTTAAGACGAATAAGTTTAAATGGGGAAAAACAAGTGGGGATAAATATCGAAACTGAAAAAACATAACTACATCACTATGCGGATATGAATACGTTTAGCTGCCGAAGAAAATTCTCACTTAACCTTTCTTTACATACTGTTCAATTTTAGTTTCCAACGTGCCTATGTTTTGGATAGTGCTTGTGACTACGTCGCCTGGCTTGAGAAATTGTGGTGGATTAAGGTACAAACCCACACCTCCCGGAGTTCCCGTCAGGAGTATGTCACCAGGATAAAGGGTCATCACACTGGAAAAATTAAATTAATATAAACAATGACATTTACTATACCCTCTTACTTATTAATAACATTGTTTATTTAAATTCCATGGTCCCTAGACTCTTTGATTTTTTTAACCGTGGCAGAAACTTCGAAGGATTATATTTTACCATCTTTTTGCTGTGTATGATATTTTACTTTTATTAGGTTGGGGAAAAAGTCTTTTCGCATATAATATGCATAAACTTGTAATAAAAAAGTTTTGAATTTTCATATAAAATGCGAAGAAACTTTCTCCCCAACCTATATTTCATTTAGGAACTTTGAAGCAAGTCTGTTTCATCTATAATGTATATGAAGTAATTTCTAAGGCTCGTGCTTTTTTACTGTAAATACCTAGTAATATAAAATGATGATTTGGCGCCCCCCTAATACTGCCCGGGGCACTGTGCCCCCACTTGCCCTACCCCCTAGATCCAGGCCTGTCTAGTGATGGACAATGTACCTTTTGAGAAGAGAACTAGAGAAAAATATTATTATCAAATTACGCAACGGATTTTTTTAATAGATGGGGTGATTCATACGGAAGGTTTTTATGTATAAGACCACGCGAGCGAAGCCGCTGGCGGAAAACTAGTAAAGTATAAAACACAAACTACGAAAGTTTGAATGAAATAAAAACTGTTGATAGCGAATATTTATATTATTCTTACTATTAGCAGTTCCTACTTCATTCAAATTCTTGTTTATTTGTTAAAAATATTTGCTTAACTTATTACTTTTTTATTGTTAGTATGATACAATAATCATACTTAGAACAGAAACAAATAAGAAAAGAAATTACACTAAGGCTACAACTAATGATGGGTAATTTCTGATCCCTTTCGATGTAAACCTAACATTAGACTAGCGTAAAGTCTTCTGCTAGATACAATGGCTATCAATCAAAATAGCCATGTGAATAGAAATAGGACAATGGTCCACAACTCACCATGCGAGCCTATAGTAGGCCGCTCTGTGTTAAGGACTGGGGGAACCATCAGTTCAACAGCTTTCCAAAACACGAGATAATTTTTGTTCACCAAAAATGAGCTCATAAAAAAAGGCGGACATTTTTTTATTCATAATGGGCTCACTCTTGACCTCAATCCAGCCCAAGTAGATGAATGAGATCTACGATGGGACGAGCTTGCCCAGAAGGAACACTGCTTAGATTTATCGACTTAGTGACATCAAATAAAAATAGTTATTAGGTATAATATTATTTTTGAAATTAACTATTACCTTACATTATATAAGTTAACCTTTAGATATAATTTTATAGAAATGCTTAATTTTTACAGATATTTTTATCACAGCTAACTAAAAACATGGAACTTACGAAGTAAGTCTCTCTATGACGTCAGGTATCTTATGTACCAACTGACACGTGTTGCTGTTCTGCTTCAACTCGCCGTTCACGCTGCATTCGATATCCAGCTTCTGGGGATCTCCGATCTCATCGCTGGTCACTATCCAAGGCCCTATTGGGCAGAACGTGTCCATCGACTGCAAAAATTAAAATATCGTTAGTACCTATAGCATCTTGATCTTCATCTTGGAAGGCCGTTGGAATTAATGTAAAACGATGACATATAGCAACTTTCACAATCAATTAACTATGAGCTATAGAATATTCCTAGGTTAGGCGAAAAAAATGGACTATGACACAAAATATTATGTGAGCATTGAAAGAAAACGATACGTATCGCTATCCAAAGATAGATGTATCGTTTACGTGTAGTACTGACTATTTTTGTACTAGATGAGATCAACAACCAATAGCATTTCGTACAACAAAACGCAGTACGCGAAAACAATACAGAGGTGTATCGTTTTATTTCGACGCTATGTGTTATTGTTTATTTTTTTGGTCTGCCCTAAGAACAGACTATAGATGTCTGTGTACTGCCCATCTTATCACATACAAGAGCGGCAACAAATCACTGTTACCAATCTCATCAATTAAAAATATCAAATCATTACCAACTGATAGAAAACTGTTTATGCATTAACAGTTTGCCTCTGTTGCTCTGTTGCATATTCTTTATAATACCTTTTATTCGGACCAACTAAACTGACCAACTGGTTGTGCAGAATGGAACTCGATGAAGGTTTTATTCCAATCTGACCGACTGATTGATCGCATATTATGTTTTGGGCAAAAATATTCCATTCCGACCAACGACACTGACCAAGGAAACGGATCAACTAGTTTTCTTTCTCAAGGAAATAACTTTTCAGTTGGTTCGATCGGAATAATTTATTAATTTATATTTTTTTCCACCCACACAACTTTTGTATTCAAACTTCACTAATAAACTGGCCACTGTCCTCATAACGAGAAATCCTTATGACTTGTTGACTGAAGTATTAAGTCATTGATTTTTTTGTATCAATTGGTTGGTTTAATTTATTAAAAAACTTGAAAATTATGGAACAGTGTGAAAAAACGGCGGCAAGATTTTTTAATGATCATCATCTATGTACAAAAGGCCGACAATATAAAGAGAGTGGAGCATTATATTTAAGGTGCATAAATTAATTATGAAAAACAGAAATACAATGGAAGCATAACTGTAAAAGTAAGTTTAAAAGTTGTTCCATTTATGTACAGTGCGCGTGAAAATTATAAATTTTTTTAGTGAAACTTACATTTTTTATGTAGGTATAACAACAAATAAAAACGTATGTTAACATTACGAAATTCCTGGAGATTTTGTGTATTTGCAAAATATAATACATATTTTCAATACGTAGGTATTTGAGATAAAATTGGTCAGTAATTTGCAATAAAATCAGTGAACATATAATAAAAAAACATACATCAGCGTCGAACATCGAACCTCATACTTTTCGATTTAGAAGTCGATTAAAAAAAAAGTCGATTAAAAAATTATACTGATGAAAAGAAAATAGTGGAAAATAGTTGGTCGGTTTGAAGTTGCGTGGACGGGAAGAAATTTAAATTAATAAAATAATCCTATCGGATTTACCAAAAAAGTTGGTTGATTGAGAAAGAAAGAAAGTTAATCTGTTTCAGTTAGTCAGAGTGGAAGTACAGGTATAATCGTATTCACCTTGCCTAGTAGGAATTGGCCGGCATTTTTGTCCTTCTGCCAATCGCGCGCGCTTATATCTTGAGCCACAGTGTACCCAAGTATGTAGTTAAATGCATCCGCGGCCTTCACACACGAAGCCTCCTTGCCGATTACGAGAGCCAGTTCCACCTCCCAGTCGACTTTCTAGAAAAAAATAAGGCTATCTAGATATACTATAATGCACTTTAACGTGTCGATTTTTATTTAATTTATCAACTATCCTTAAAAAAATTTTTAGTGATGGGATGTTTCTTAAACCAAATATTCGTTAAAATAAGAACCTAGTTTTATGTGTCAAATAAGTAAAACGTAAAAAAAAATATAGAGAGTACCTCTACGAAAACGGGTCAGTAATTCATCATTAAGATCCGTTTGAACAAGAACAAGAACCCACGGAGAAAACAGAAGTTGGTGTATTAAGTGATCGTGGTGTATTATCGTTGTAAGGAGTAGTTCTTAGTAAAATCATAAAAGAAGCGTAAATTTTGAGACAACGCTATGAAAATAATATCATCATCAGCCCTTTTACGTCCCCACTGCAGGGGCTCAGGCCTTTCTTATGGATGGTTAAGGAGTATGGGCCATGACCCTCCACGCTGGCCCAATGCGGATTGGAGGGTATTAACGACTGCAAATGCAGCCGGGACCAACGGCTTAACGTGGTCACCCATCCCGTACCGACTCTTGCGAAAGTTGCTCTACGACAATGATCGCGGGCCGCGGCGCTTATCCACTACGCCACCGAGCTACATGAAAAAAAATGAAAACATAATAATAAGAAATCGAGGAAAACTAAAGAAATAACGATAAATATTTTCATTAAAAGCGGAAGCATTCTTTGGTAGCTTCGTCACAAATAGGTAAGTTGTGATAAGTAACCAATTTCAATTGCACTTTGAACTTCGTGCTCATACAATGACAAATACATATTCATATTCAAATATGTACTTACAAGAATTTGTTTTCTTGTTTCAAAAACATAAACTGTTGATAAAACAAGGAAATTATTTTATGTTGGTAGATCCTTATTATAACACACATTGGGCTAGGGTTTAGGCATTCTCACCTCTTGTGGTTGTATTATTTAAAGTAGGTACAGACGAGAATTGGCAAATAAATACTAAGCAATGAAACAATTATTGATTAGAACAAAATCTATTGATTTTACTACGTACGCCCATATCGAAATACAAATACTTTTTAGATAGAATAAGCAACTATTGTATTAATAAATTCTATTCCACGACTATTAACTGACTACAAAGAATCATATTTCTCCAGCAATAGGAATGGCAGTTTGTAATCAGATAAACTACCAATATTTATACAATACTGTCTATTGACGCTCATAAGATATAGAATAGGTATTTATTTTTCATGTGCCTTTAAATTCATATCTGTATATTACGTTTGTTTGAAATAAAATATATTTATGTGTATTGCATACAGTAATGATTTGAAAAACTCACTTCCGTCACATCAGTCCTTAATTTCAATACATCGTTAGGTCCAATAATTGTACTGGTATATTTGCTGAAGAACATAGGCACTTTAGGAGGTTTCAATTTGTGCATAGTACAATGGTCGTGATAGTTCAGACCAATGCAGAGGATTTTGTCTTGACCAGAAATTGGTGCTTCTAGCTTCACACATCTTAGATCTTCCGCAGCCGATTTTTTTGAATTTAATCTGGTGATTTTAATAGAGATTTTACCAGTTTTCTAAAATTACTAGCCAACATTAAAATGTAGGATGTGCAGGGACAACTATATTAGTTAGAGCGAAAACTAAATAATTGGAGATTTAACCTAGTTGAATGTTGACAGATACTAATTTTAATTTGTTCTCTTTGTAGAAGCAATTTACATTCCAAAAGAGTAGGCGATGTACTTCTTTACAAAGCAGAAGGTAAGTGAAACTCTACAAAGGAGGCTTTCCGAGCAAGTATACTTAGAGAATGGGTTTGAAAAGTCCTATAATTGCAAGGGTATTGTGTCGGACTCGCTAGCAGTCTGGAGCAGTCAGTAGACTGGAAGACTCTAGTCTAGACAGGTGAGCAGACTTTTGGAAATGCTAAGGGACCTATTTTTTTGTCTTAGGAAATCGAATAGTTTACAAATATGTGCCTAAATCGGACACTGTATAGGTAAGGTGCTGGGAAATATTAAAAGCTCCTATTTAGCTGAATTCCCAACCAGCTAGTCACATAGATCGTTTAATGGATAATGAAGAACTACAGGTCAATATGGATGACGATTAATTTTTGTTTGTTTGGGTGTCGTGTGCTTGTGCGTTGTTTAGTTTAAATGTTGCATGACGTGACGACAGAAGCGTGATTTTCTACAAAACTGTGACGTAGCGAGCTCCCACCCCTCAATTTTAATGTCCGTTATATAAGCCATTTCTTATTTAAATTGAAGCAAAAAAATACGTATCTAATATTTTTCTATTATCTGACTTACAGACTATAATTGCTTTTTTTTACCCAGTCATCATCCCTATTTTGGTAATGTTTACGTAATAATCGCATCTCAATAGAATCTCAAGTATTTTTATTTTACCTTTGTACTATCTACCTGAAGTCCAATATTATTAGTGTTCTTCCTCCTACATCAATGGTGATAGATATATAATAATGTTACGACTTAGGTTTGGGATAAAGACAATAATATTGGACTACAGCTAGTTAGTACAATTATAAAATGCGAGACGTTGAGATTAGATTATTACGTAAACATTAGCAGAATTGGCATACAAAGATGTTCGGATATGACTTACGAATTTACTTTCTCCATATCACCGTTCAACAAAATACCAAGCAACGTGTTAGGAAGAGTATTATCAACTTTATTCAAATCAACAACACAGCATTCTTTTATATACCCGACCCTGATATCATCTGGTCGATTGCAATAACTGAACTGTACCAGTTTCATATTTATACAAGACATTATCGAAAATAGTCTAACTGTTCTGAATGTTATAAAGTTGCGGAAAAGCTGTTTGGGTTTCATGAAGCGGAATAGCACACGAGTGACCAACGCGTCCGTCATCTTCCATCCAAAGTGAAGACAACAGAATAACACTTTTCATTTATGCAATGCTCGGGATTGTACAGGTTTTACTGTTTATGTGTCGAGGTGTACGCAACGAAACAAAAATTCCGATCTGTAAATCTGCAAAATTATACCCACAGGTTTTTTCAAAAACCGCAATTTACTTAACGTCATCTAAACGTCAAAAACTGAAATCATAGAGATTTCAAATCGGCTGCATTTAATAAGATTTAAAATTAATATTCGGACTCGATTATAAATATAATGAAAATATATGATGAATTTTTGATTAGAACCTGAATATTTTTATTAAGCTTTTGACACCCATACGCTACACCAAATTTTTTATGCAACTTTGTAAACTCATAATCAATAGAATATAACCCTGTGCTATATAACAGTCTACAAACGTGCCAAGATAAATTAATTGGTCAAGATAGATCGAACAAAAAGTACTGAATCAATATGAAACATTATTGTTTTTGTATGTGATTAAATAGGTTATTATATCAATATGTTACATAAATAATATGTGATCTCTCAGTATGCATAGTAGGCAGCTAGTAAGGTTATACAAAACGTATTCACTTGCTAAGACAATTTTATGTGTGTATTTTGTCTGACGTGCAACTGCGTATAGGTAATTATTTGTAAGAATGAATCACTCATCGGTACCAATCATAAGAAGTTCGGAATTGTAATTGCGATCTAGTCACAAGGCAGTAATATTAATTTGAAGTTCAACTACACAAACTAAGTTTGATTTGTTTTTAACGTGAAAATCATTTGCACATTTGTAGCAAACGGACGTGGCATACAAAATTTGAGCTAAAAACATCGTAAAAAGGTAAAATTGAAAACTGTTTTTCTGATATATATACATTTTATAGTAATCAAATAGGTTTTGTTTTTATAACATAATATGCTTTTCACCAAATATCACAAAAATATTTTGACGCCATGTTTATATCACCGACAAAACAAAAGATAGTATATTTTGCATTCATTCAAAATCCGTATAGAGAATTTATATGTTGAACATAAAAATTCAATATCACAAAAAGCATGATTTTTTTTTTCTCAAAAAGTAAACCGATTTTAACATTTAAAAAGTGAAATCGAATTCAAGAAATTGTCTTTTTTTATTTTAATAATATTAACGACTACAAAATAGTAACTAAATATGACAGATTCAGATCACACTGAAATAAATCTAGAACCAACAACAAGACCTGTTTTCGTTTGGAGAAAGGAATAAAATCCGGTATAAGGAGGATGCCGCACAAGAAATATCTTCGATCTTCCTTATTTCCATGACACAAGAGTTTATTTAACATGGGTTCTGGGCAACATATCTATGTGGTCTAATATTTTCGTTGCTCTACATGTTTCGCATCGGATATGATGCTGACTGTACACCATAATGTAAAATGTCTTGGTTTATTACCACTTCAGGTCCACCTACACGCAATATGAATTACGATCTCAAATTGCTTCAATGATTAACCCCAATTTGTGTGGCGATGAGGTCACAGGGATCTTTGTGAATCACGTCAGGAATTTTTGACCTCATCTATATTATATTTCCTTTATGCTCCTGATTGAAGCTCATTATTAGAAAGTTAGAAAGTTAATCAAGAACGTATCAAGTTCAAAAAGGTCATAATTTAAATTATATTTCGTATTAGCTTTCTGCCAACGAATTCGCCCGCGTGGGCCTGTATTATACAAGTAAATCTTCCTGTTGAATTACTCTGTATAACGATGAAAGCAGCATTAATATCTGCTGGGTAGTTTAAAAAATCTTAGCGTACCTACAGACAGCGAGAAGTTACTCTTATTTATACTATGTATAGAAGATGGAAGTAATATCTTGAGAATGTATGTTTTAATAAAAAAAAACATCTTGCAGTTTATTATCTTACGTATGAATTATCAAGACTCAATACCTCTCCCTTATGAGAGAAAATAAGACATGGTTCACCCTCCCCACTCCCCACTAAATCGCTTTATGTAAATGGTGTGAGTTCCTTACACCGTTTTTTCGACGAGAGGAAGCCAAAAAAAAAGGTGTAAGGAACGGATCAT